GTATTTGTAATTCTTTAAAAATTAGTTTTAATCAATGAATTTTTGATAGTTATAATTAAATTACCGTATTGTTATCCAAAATAATCGTGTATATAAAATTTCAGCTCAATTGAGCGCTTTAATAAGTATTTTATTAACAATTGAAAATTTGAACAAGGGAATTGAGAGATTCTGAACTAATAGTCGGAATTGAAAAAGCTTTTATAGAATGAAAGATATATATATATATATATATATATATATATATATATATATATATGGGTGTTTTCCTTTAATATTTTATTTTTTACTTTTTTAAATTAGTTACTTCATCAAAACTTTTATATTTCCCTTGCAATTATTGACAATTAGTTTCAGTCAATTAATTTTAATTTATTATAGTTAAATTATCGTATTGACACCCAAAACAATGGTGTACAAAAAATTTCAGTTCAAATAAGTGCTTTAAAGTGTGAGAAAAAACCTTTTAAAGTTTTGACACAATTCACTAAAAATGATGCCAACGTAGCTGTATTTGTAATTCTTTGAATAATTAGTTTTAATCAATGAATTTTAATAATTATAATTAAATTACCGTATTGTAATCCAAAATAATCGTGTATATAAAATTTCAGCTCAATTGAGTGCTTTAATATGTATTTTATTAACAATTGAATATTTGAACAAGGGGATAGAGAGATTCTGAACTAATAGCCGGAATTGAAAAAGCTTTTATAGAATAAAAGAAATATATATATATATATATATATATATATATATATATATATATATATATATATATATATATATATATATATATATATATATGGGTGTTTTCCTTTAATATTTTATTTTTTACTTTTATAAATTAGTTACTTCATCAAAATTTTTATATTTCACTTGCAATAGCGAAAGTAAAAATGCTTAAAATACATTGATAACTAAATTAAAATAAGGAAAAAGTCATTGAATGAAGAGTTTGAAGAGTATGAAGATTGTACTAAGGAAAAATCAAAAGATATTGCATTGTACTTAAATTGTTAAAGTATCCATTTATTTATTTCTTTATTACTTTATTCCTTATATACATCACTTTAATTTATAATCTTTTATTTCATCGAGTAAAGGATTTCATTAAAAGTTCCACTGATAAACAAAAATTGATACTTTTTTTTCTTTTTAAAACTCATCCGATCTCTTTATTGAAAATGCATTGAATGCATTTAAAAGTACTTTAGCTTAAACTCCATTATGCTTTATATTGATTTTAACTTATCGTATAAAATTGTTATTCGATATTTGAAAAGGAATACAAATACTTAAAGCATAATTTACCGTAAGAAGAAAATCTTTTTTTATACTGAAAGGAAATTAAAAACTATTAGAAAAAAAAATTTTCATAAAAATTCCATATTTCGGTAGTGAATACGTTTTGTGATAGAAATACAAGTAGCAGTCGATTACTGTTTGTATTAAGAATTTTTCTCTAAAACTTTGCAACGCATTGATATTTTATCAGAACAATTTTTTCTATAGGTTTAACTTAATAACACAAAAATATTCAAATATATATTTTTTTAAATCAATTAAAAAAATTGAAATATTCAAAAAAAAATTTATAATCCCTAAATATTATAAAAAATATAAATATCCGTCATTCTAATTAAAAATAAATATAAAAACATAGAAAAGTAAACTTTAAAGAATAAAGTTCTCAGATGAATGAATTATAAAAACAAGGTGATAATATGCATATATTCTAAAACAACTTGTAAAAAAAAGGAAGATGAATTAGAATAAGTAAAACGCGTAATACACGCACACACGCGTTAAAAGCAATATAACAGCATGTATTACAGCTTTTGAGGAATCTGTACAAGTTGTTTCATCTCACTATGATATACTATGTAAGGAAGCAAACTTTCCTTACCTTGCTGAGATTTACACCCTAATTTGTGTATGATCAAGTGAATGAGTGAATATTAACGTCATACTGTACAGCTACATGAGGGCTTTTGGCGACGGACCTCGTAATTTTGAACTATGGTCAAGTGACGAGGATGACACCTGAGCTGGTACACCCTCTCCTAACTACCACACCACACCAACGGGAGGATATGTATGATCAAATTTAACTTAGTAGACAAAACTGTTTATAGATGATTATTTTAAAGGCTAAGACAATTATTTCCTATGTTAACTAAATCATAAAAATCTTTTGAAGACTTAATTATTGTATTAATTAAACCTTTTACCTCTTTGGAGAACGTAAAATCTTAACTATTTATAAGAAATTTGACAATTTTGCCGTTGCTATATTATCTGCATTTTTATGTTTCAAACTAAGTTTAAATAAAAATCTGGCGTCGTTGTTGGTTATTTGTTTCTGTGTGAGATAAATTGTATTAATTACCTAAAATTTAAACGTTCATAAATTATATTGAATAACATTTCTATAAATTTTAAATATCATAATTTAGGAAGCACGGCAAAATATCTGAAAGTATAATCTTGATGGCTTGGATTATATCATTATAAAAGCTAATTATTTAAAATGTAATTATCTGTTTTAAATTTACTTAAAATTAATTGCTTCAAATGCTATTTGTTTATTGTTATAGTATACTTAATATTAACTTTGTATTATTTATATTTTTATTTCTGTGTAAGATACTATCGTAGAGTTTGAAAAAATCAATATTCATGACATGGAAATTAAAGTAGAGGGCTATTAAACAGTTTTCATTAATTTTCCTTTTTGCTTTGCTTTTCAGTTATTTTAATTAATTTTAGTAACTGAAAACTTTTTTTCTCACAAATACATTGTCAGAAATTTAATTTTCTTAAAATATATTCCATATAATTCTTCCAAATTTTCAATAATAAATTATTTTAGTCTGTTTATGAGTTATTTAGTGAATTAATTAGTTAATTTTTTTTAAAAAAAATAAGAAATAAAAGTTGCAGTTATTACTCAAAAAGTTTGTTGCAAACTATTGGAAACGTAATTTATCATTTAATTAATCAAAACAGCATAGCGAACACTTTTTTTATTGATTTCTTTAATTATTACCTTCATTAAAATCAACAAATATAAATGAAATTATTCTCTAGGTATACTGCTTGTTACTTCAGTTATGGGTTGACATATAAATATTTATTATTCGGATGGGATAAATTTATGACAGTCAGATGATAGATACAATCACGCGTTCCCCATTGAACTCAAAACGGCCGTAAGACATGTATTTGTTAGTCTACTTGCAAAATTTAAAAAAAGAGTTTAAATCCCATAATTGACTAAAGTTGTTCAAGTATTAAGAGTCTTCAAAAAAAATTTCAAAATTAAAAGAAAAAGTTTCTTATAATACACATATACTTTTAAATCATGTGCATTTTGCTCAAATGTGTGCGTTATTAATGTAGAAAAATGTATACTTTTTAAAAGTAAGTTTCTACAAAAAGCAAAAATTGGCAACAATGAAGCATAAGAATTGAATGGCTTAGAAACCCATGATTGCATTTATCATATTACTATTACGTCACAAGAATTTAGCTCATTGATCTTCCCGTGTAATCTTCAGAATACGTGAAACATAGCTTTAAAGATAATTCTACCGTCAATGGAAGTATTGAAGGTAATAATAATGAATTTATCTTTATTGAAAAAGCAAGCTGAAGTTACCCATTTTACTTTATTTTTTATAACCTTGTATAATATTTGATTTACTGCTGAAGTCTCTTCATAACGGATAGAAATTTGTCTGAAATTTTAAGAATGTACTATTTACATATTTTTTTAATGATCATACCTCAAAATTATTCCTAAGTAATTAATCTCATATAAACATCCCTCATTCAATTCCTACTCTCTATTAGTTCACTCTCTCCCTATATATATATATAAAGAGTGTTTTTTTCAGGTATAGAAGTTTAAGATGGCATTACTTTCCAAGATGGCGACCGATTTAACAGCTGTCAAGTGATTTATTCTCAGTTTGGTTTGGCAATTCATCAAACGATCATCAAGCAAGGCGTAGATTCGTCGAATGGGCCCAAATCCAGATTGCCGTTGTTCCCGATTTTCATAAGCGAATTTTGTTTAGCGCTGAAGCGCACTTCTGGTTGAATGGCTACGTCAACAAACAAAACTGCCGCATTTGGAGTGAAGCTAATCCACAAGTGTATGTCGAAACACCGTTCCATCCAGAAAAACTGACTGTTTGGTGCGCTTTATGGGCTGGTGGAATACTTCTTCAAAAACGATGAAGGCCACAACGTTACGGTCAATGATGATCGGTATAGAGCCATGATTACTAACTTTTTCATTCCTGAATTGAACAATCATGATGTCCAGGAGCTGTGGTTAAAACAAGACGGCTCAACATGTCACACAGCTCGTGCCACAATCGATTTATTGAAAGACACGTTTGGTGACCACATAATTTTACGTTTTGGACCTGTGAATTGGCCTCCAAGATCTTGTGATTTAACACCGCTAGACTATTTCTGTGGGGCTATGTAAAGTCATTGGTCTCTGCGGATAAGCCACAAACGCTTGACCATTTGGAAGACAACATTCGCCGTGTTATTGCCGATATACGGCCACAAATGTTGGAAAAAGTCATCGAAAATTGGACGTCCAGATTGGACTACATCCGAGCCAGCCTTGGCAGTCCTATGCCAGAAATCATATTTAAAATGTAATGCCACAAGATTATCTTTCGAATAAAACAAATTCATGTCAATCGAATAATACATCATTGTTTTATTGCAATTTAAAGTTCTATACCTCTAAAAAAACACCCTTTATATATCTTGTTCAAATTTTCAGTTGTTAATAATTACATTTTATTCCTCCACTCAAGTTCAAATGCATTTTTTTACACTTGTAATGGATGACATTTGATGTTAATACAGTTTTTTCAAATAATAGTTCATTAATTAAATTAAAAATGAATAAATATAAAAAAAATAATAGTCCAACAGCAAAAATAGAAAGGATAATTTTTCGTCCTGTCACTGTATTGCAATCAATAACTCGTTGGACCTATAATCCAAAGGTCGTGGGTTCGAACCCTACCTTAGATGGCCTAATTTCTGAGAATGTGGTTTCCTTTTTTATTATACTATTTAATTAAAATAATTAAATTTATTGAATGAATAAATAATAACAAACAAAAATAGTCCAACACCCTATATAGGAAGGAAAATAGAAAATTTCAAGGAAAATTGCTTTCTGTGTTGTCACTTAATATTGTGATTAGATTTTATATGTGCATACATATTTATATTAATTATAACTATTTAATAAAAAGTAACTAAAATAAAATTTTTTGTAGACCTAAGTAGGAATTGGCTTAATTCTTTTTTATATTACTCGCGTTTTTAAAACAAATTAAATTTCATGGCTCTGATGTTATAAGATTATATTTATTCTATTAAACAAATTTCCCTATTGATGATTCATGACTGGCTACTTTTAAGTAAATTCAATTCCATCTGACACAAAACAGAAAACCCTGGCATTTCCCTTACAAAACCCTCCAGTCCCTGTTAAAATCCAAGCATTTAGGTCCAAAACCAACTGGGAAAACCCGTTATCTTTTTGGGCCATCCCCTTTAGATCAGAGAGATGGGAATTCGTAGCCCACATCCCCCTATCTCTTGAGGTCAGCATCGACTGAGGTCAATGAAGAGGAAAAGGTAGGGTGGCAAGCCTTTAAGTCTTCTTACTCTAGGGACCAAAAAAAAGATAAGAGGGGGAATTTTCACCCCTGCCACAAAACGGGGGAGAATAGAGCCCCAAAAGATATACTTGAATGGTCCCTTTTACTACTGGGATGGGAGATCCCTAAAGCTGGAACGGAAATGAAACTGTTTCAACCACTTCCTGTTCGTGAAGTTTCTTCTTCCAGTTAAGTTTGATTTTAGTCCGCTTCCAAACGAGCCTCGTTAAAGGAGTTTTTGTTTTCCCTGTTGAGGGGGGAGACTTTTGCTAACGGGGGATTAGCTTCTGTAAAGGAAGGTCATTGGTAAGAAAAGAGAGTGGGTAGAATTTGGATGATGTGATTAGCTAGTTGGTATTGTAAAATGGGGAAAAGAATAGGGAAAAAAAGTTTAGTAGTTGGAGAGCGAAGCACTTTGTATTCAAGAAATGTAAAAAGTAAAAGAAATGAAAAGAACTGGGATTTGTGTGTATTTTTATTTTTAAAAAAATTAACTGTTTTTTTTCATTTGAATGAAGACGCTCGGGTTTGCTTGTTTTTTTTAATGAAAAAATGTTTTAATGATTATATATTTTGATTTTATAGCAGCGTTTCTCAAACTTTGAGGCGCGCCCCCTAAGGGGGCACGAAATTATTGAAAACAAAATATTATTAAAAAGTTATTAATTTAATGGAAGGAAGCAAAACAAAATATATTTTGACGTAATAAAAAATAAAATACACATTTACACTGGTATAATATGATTATAAATGTATCAGTACTGCACAATGTATTTGATTCTTAATCTATCATTAACAAGTTTAATAATTTCAATTGACGCCATGGTCTTGTTTTATACAAAATTTAATACGTATGTTGATAACTTGCATGGTTTATAATGAAGGTCATATTGTAGCTTTTTTTTAGCGTCAAAGCACATTACTAAGAAATTCAATACATTGTTATTGTAAGGAGGGGAGGGGGAGATGAAAATTAGGAAGCAGATATTGAAAGTTTGAGAGGCTCTGTTTTATAGTAATGTAGGGAAAAGTATATTTTTGATATATTCAATTACTTTTAAAGGGATGATTTAACTGAGAAAAAAATGGTCTCAAAGTCAAATAAACATTTTTAGACTTATTGGCTCTACATTTTCCCATTATCTCACAAAATCTGAGAGATCCACGTTAAAAAAAATCCAGAATTTTAATAGTTTTCATGTTTGTTTGTATTCAAATAGAAAATATTCAGTAGCAAATGAAATTTTAAACTGATTTATCTCTGAACAAAAAACCAAACAAAAAATATCACTAGCTTTTCTCTATTTAAAATGTTGACTTTTTTACTTTTGGGCCAAGCATTTAGATATTTTATCTATCTATTGCTATTCGTACAAGTAACAAAAGTTAGTATGCATTTTTAAATCAAAACAGTACTCGATTTTTTTTAAAAAAGTTACATTTGAGATTTACTCAATTTTAAGGAATTTTTATAAGCATTCACAAAAAATGATTTTATTAATTTCAATTAAATAATCACACAAAACCAATACCAGATTTTGTTGTAAATCTAGTATTAGTTTTTTGTAAAGTTGTTTCATGTGTGTATGTCAATTATTGTATAAGAGGAGTAGCATTTATAATTATATCCTGAATTTTCCTTAAAAAATTAAATTGTTTGCTTTTTGTGGTGTTTTGAGCACAAATCCTGTTTTGTATTACATATACATACATTACATGCAAAAAAAGTGAAAAAACCATTTAATAAAAGATTTTTATTTAAATCATTCCATGTCTCCTTAATTAACCAACATTTTCAAAGTTCTTATAACTGTCTTGGAATAGTAACAATGAATTTTTCGACAGAAAAATTATCCAGCATTCTAATCCTAATTTTTCTACACTCTCACTTAAAAAGAAAAAAATTCTAAATCCATCAGATGTTTATATTTGTAAAAATCGATTTACTACTTAATAAGTTCATTATATCATTTTCAATACTTAACCTTTTGTTGCATAAAAATAATCTGTAGAAGTTGAAGAAAGGTATTTATGTTTTTTTTATCATTTAAATTAACTTCAGAATTAATAAAAAAATATTCGAACTTAACTTCTGTGTGCACACATAATCACATTTTTATGGTTATTTTTTTAGCCCTCTTGGTGATGAAAACTACAAAAACTGCCCAATTTTCTATCAATGTATAAATACATTTTACAATTGTTGATGAAATACATGGATTTTCTGGAGCATAACTCCATTTTGCATCTTTGATCTATACTTGCAGTTTATCGAAGGAAATATATCACCACTCTATCAAAGAGGGCATACATGAGTTACCTTAAATTTTTTCTTTGGTTTATTATTGCATTTGAAATCGTTTTTTCTTCCTTGTTTTCGATAACCAATACTATCTTCTGAAAGATAAATATGCAACTGATATATATATACAGATCCAGCAAATTATCTCCATTTCTTCAATTGTAAATATATTCTTTTTTCTACGATTTTGAAAATGATATAGGATGAATGAACAAGGAAATGAAATTTCTAAAAGCATTTACGAAAGAGTAAGAAAATTTATATTTTTACGGACTGCACAAGGTCTAATACAAATGGTTAATTGACTAATGAATTTTCAATTTTATGTATTAAAATGTAAACAAATGTTTTTCTTGGATCAATTCATTCTAATTTTCAAAGAAGCAGCATAATAAACGAGTATATATCTACTATTTCTCTACCATGTATTGAAAAGGGCACATTCTTTGTTGTTTTGTAACAACGAGTTATCCGCAAAATGTACCCACTCTAACTCGGATTTTTCCATACTCCAAATTGACACTTTGAAATAGAAAAACTCCACTCCTCAAATGAACGTCACAGTTAAATAGAATAGAAATAGTCATTCACAGATAGGGAATGGATTTAGGTGGATAATATGGCTACGATAGTACAGACGGAATTGTAGTTGTGCAGCGGCGCTTGCTTTTGCTAACAACATAGGACATGAATAAAAGCCCTTAATGACTGGCCCTAATAGAAATGCATTTAGTTTCAGTTGTCTAAGGCACGCACGGTGTAGCTGCGGGCCGGTTCAACAGCTTGTCACTGAAGTAGTGACCTAGGAATTGAATACTAGATGCAGAGCCTAGTGATACTGGATGATTATCATTCATTCCATAGAGAAACTAACTAAGGCATTTCCAATAAATCACTAGTGATTCAAAATGACAACGGCGCACACGTCAACTAAACCCACCATCTCAACGCCCCCAACTTTAACGGAAAAGTGTTCCAACGACACTCAAACCTGCTGAAGATGCATCACAATTGCAGTAAATGGCTGGAAAAACAACATAATCTCAGGTATCGTTCAGAAAGTCAAACAGGAAAAAAAAAACATTCTTCTCTAGGAAGAGGGTATGCAGCGGCCCCTCCTTCTGCAAGTCGCTTACAACAAAGTACAGGGGTAAAATCCCTTAAGGACTAGTCCGAATAAGGATTCCTTTCGTCTCAGTCGTCTAAGACTGATCCACCGACCCACTGGTCTCAGGAATCGCTGCAGACCAGTGGGTCGGTGGATCAAATAACCCTCAAAATAACCCTGCCAAGGTCACCAGCTTGTCGCTGAAGTCGCTTATTCCTGAATTACAGTCGCTTTTAGAAGTTATTGGAAGATTTCTTGCGAGCGAATTTTTGAGGTTGCATCTCATTAAGGATAAGTACACATTATTTATAACTAATTTACTATCTTCTCTACATATCCCGTAATAAGGTTTATCGTTGGATTAATAAAAGTGATTTATTGTGAAATCGGTGGGTTCTCATTTCGTGTCTGACGTAATGGCGTCTCAATCACTACTGCATTCAGATCCTCCCGAGAACGTCAACGATCAGCAAGATTTCCACCTCAAACGGTATGAGCAGTAAGTACAAAAATAGTTACAAATTGACATAAGAAAATTATTTAATTCAGTGCTTCTCAAACTTTCAATACTGGCGCCCCCCTTTTCAATCACAATTTTTATCGCCCCCTTATGCATTAATAATGTACTGAATACAATAATAATGAACTTTGACGATAAAGCAACAATCTGTATTATAAACCGTACAAATTCATGACATAAGTATTAAATTTTGTATATGTTACTTTTAAGCAAAAAAAAATTAAGTAATAGGATAATTATTATGTTATTTTTCCTTTCTCTAATTTTTAAATTGGAACATATTGCAAAATGTGGTGGTTGCTTAGAAGACAAAATATAGATATCAGCTTTCTTTTTAGAAAGAACTCAGTGGGTCAATTTCTAATCATAAGCATTCCTTTGAAAAACTTTGCTCTGTAAGACAAGCCCATGGAAGTCGCTAATACTTATTAA